CTTGATACACTTGAAGAAGTCCCTCTCTTTCCCTCGCTGAACACTTCTGCCAGAAACGACCAGGACAGTCGCACCCGCAACCCTGGGGGCACGTCCGCGGCGGAGACCGGGTCGGAGTCGGAGCCAGGCTCTCCCCGAGGGCCGAGACGTTCCCTCCCCCATCCAAAGGCGCACTGCTTTCTTCCGTCCCCACTTGCCTCGTCAGTCCTCCCCCAACTCCGTCCACTGCCCTTCCCAACCCTTTGTCGCATCCAAGTTCAAGAGCGAGAAAAGACGAGGTTGGCTCAGCAGCGCCGGTGACGATCAGGGAACAGAAGCCCCTCAATGGCGGCCGCCATTTTGAAACTGGAGGCGATCCGCGGAGGCGGGGAAACCCAGGGTGATACCATCTTCGGGGGTGAGAGGGACTAAGCTGGAGGAAGGAGGTGGCATTTACACCGAGTCTTGTCTCCTGGGGCCGAAGTTTTATTTTTAAAGAATTTACAATGTGTTGAAGCTAAAAGAAATATGAGAAGGGTCAAGCAGTGAAAGGAAGAAGAGGAATGGTTTCTCGGAGCCACCTCTCCCTTCGAGCGGGCGCGGCGAATGGTGGGTACCGAGGCCGCAGCTTCCGCCGGCGCCGGTGGCTGGGCTCACCGCCGCCCTAGGTCGTGGTCTCGTTGTTGCTCCCGAGGCTTCAGGTGGGTCCGGGATCTCGGGCGGTTGAGGCGGCGAGAGTCCCCTTTGTTCAGGCGGGGAGGCTGCACCTCTAGGAAAGCCCTCAGCGGCGGTGTGTACCTGCGGGTGGGGGTGGTCTGGGCCTCCCCGTGACTGCAGCGGCCCTCCTTCCCGAGGCTTCCAGCGAAGGAGACAGGGAAAGGCGAGGAAATAGGGGTTGCTTTGAGGTGGGCGGCTGCGCTCACGGTTCCCGCCTGGCACCTTTGGGAACGGGTACTCTGAGGCTGCCCTAACTGGAAAATAGCTTTAGGTTCACGGCTCCTAGGCTGCAGCGGGGAAGGGACTGCTTCTCCGCGAGCATCTCCGATTGGCCCAAGTTTCAGAGTTCTGCCTTCCTCGATATTCAGGATTGGAAGCTAACCTTGCTCTCTTCTAAGTCTCCAACCCTCTTGAGCCGACCATTCCACAAAATACACACTTTTTCAAAACTTAATTTTTAAAACAGTAATACTTATGCTTGATTTCTAGGGCGTATATGTCATTAAGACGAGGTTCTAGACCTCAAGGAGTTCCATTTCTCCATGCATCCAGAACTGCTTTTTATAGGTTAAGTCGACACTTTTTGATCACTACATATAAAGTGCTGTAGGGACTAATTAGAGTAGAATTTGTTTTTTAAATGTCTAGTCGTCTATATTATTCCAGCGTGAATTCAGAGGGGCTTACAAAAATACACACTATACAATTTTCTTTTTAGAAGTTAAGCGGAAAAAAATTGGGTTGAAGAAAAGGTAATACAGGCATATCAAATTTTATCGTGCTTCACAGTAATGCATTTTTAACAAACTGAAGGTGTGTGGCAACCCTGCATTGTCAGATGTTGGTTAGCATTTTTTAATAATGTGTTTTTTAGTTAAGGTATGTACATTGTATTTTTAGGCATAATGCTATTGCACACTTTAAATAGACTCTAGTGTAAACCTAATTTTTTTTTTTTTTTTTCAGGGATTGAACCTGCACCCTCAGCAGTGAAAGTACAGAGTCTTAACCACTGGACTGCCAGGGAATTCCCTAGAAAATGTAATTTTAAGAAAATTCCAGGACTTCCCTGGTGGCGCAGTGGTTAAGAATCCGCCTGTCAATGCAGGGGACATGGGTTCAATCCCTGTGTGGGATCTTCCCGGACCGGGGCACGAACCCGCGTCCCCTGCATCGGCAGGCGGACTCTCAACCACTGCACCACCAGGGAAGCCCTAAACCTAATTTTTATGTGCACTGGGAAACCAAAAAATTCTTGTGACTTGCTTTATCTCTATGTTCGCTTTATCGCGGTGGTCTGGAACCAAACTCATGATATCTCCAAGTATGCCCTTATTAGGAAAAACGAGATAAAGCCAAAAGTAAGGTTAATATAAATGTTGGCCTTTATACTTAGTGTAAGACACAGTAAAGCACCAATGAGCTTGGACCAAGGATCCAGACTGCCTGGGTTTTAATACCAGTCTGCCACTTACTGCATCTGTGACCTTAGGCAAGTTGATTGTCCCTGGATTTCCTCATCTGAAAAAAATATTCCTACTGCATTGGGGACATTGTATTAGTTAATACATGTATAGTAATGTGAGGATTACATGAATTGGTGATTATGAAAAGCATTAAGAACCATGCCTTACAGAGAGTACTCTAAGAGTCAGCTCTTTCTAAAGGTAGGGAAAAATTTTTGGATCATTTTGGTATCAAAGGATACATCATCCGTTACTCAATTCCCTAAGTCCATAAGATAAAAACTAGTTTGTTTTGTTTTGTTTCAGGAATAGCATAGCTACTCCCCAGTTCCGAAGTAAAAACAAAATTTTTCTCGAGAGGTCTTCATATAAAGAAGACACTAATAATATGTATAGTGACGTTGAGGGCACCCATGTGGATGTCACTCTTTATCCAAGCCTAGACCTGTCTCATTAGAGATTGTCCCAGGTGCTTGCTGCCCTTTGCCCATCAGATGAAGCCATCTTACTGTCTTGAGCCCTGATCAAGAGCCTGTCTACGTTCCCCCTCCTATCCTTTCTCTAGGGAATCATTCTTGCTCACTTTTTATGTCCATCAATCTTTGTCTTCCCTGGTCATTCCTTTGTCTTTGCAGTGACATATGCAGGATAAATTATGCTGAGTGCCACTGGGTCCCAAAGTCCACTTAGTAGTAGATTGTACAGTTGTAATATGAAATGCCTGTGGGGCTAAGATTTGCCATTTATGTCTTTGGGATGGAATCAGGCTTCCATCATGGTGGTTGAATCCTGTAGAGTCTCTGTGAGAGCCTGTATACAGCAGGAGTCTCAAGGTCTTTGCTCATCTCTTCTGCTTAGAGTATAAAGCCAGACAGAATTGCCTTCTGGCCCTGTTAGAGGAGTGCCAACAGTAATGGCTTATAGCCCACAGGTGGCCATGGGCTTATTTAAAAAGTCTTGGGCTGAGAGTCAGCAATTACTTTTTTTGTTGGTTAAATACAGTTATCTTACAGTCAGCTGTGCTGAGTGTTAGAATTGACACCTCTTAAGAAACTTGAGGAACCTAATAAGGACAGGTGGGAGAATAGATGACCCCCCAGACTTCTCTAGAAACCTATATTGTCTAGTATTTTGTAGTTTAGTGCTTTCCAGGTTACATCATTTGATTAAGGTGTGCATTGTTATTCCCATACTTGACTGGCTCAAGTTTATAAAACAAGTGGCTAACTTGATCGGAATCACAAAAAGTACCTAAATGTTTATCAAACAGTATTTAAGGATCTAAATGCAAATAATGCTACTTAGGGAATGTACAATGCTAAGAGAACCACCATCTTCTAGGACTGAGGTTAAGATTGGTTACATTTACATTTATATGTCCAAGAACTATTTGCAGCAAATCAGCTGGGGAGTTATTTCAAACATCTCATTTACTTACATCATAATTTTCTAGATCAGTGATATTCAGACTGGAATCTGCTGTGTGTAATATTACACTCTGTGAAAGACAGTATGTAGTAATTGTGTGACTTAACTTCATGTCCATTTCCTAACCCAGTGCCTTTAGATAGTAAAGCTTGAGAAATAAATAATTAGAATGTGTGTGAGAACCAGTATCCTAGAAGGAGCAGCAGGA